CCCCAAAACCCCAAAACCCCAAAACCCCATTTGCTGATTTTATTTAAATTAAGAAAAGATTAGCAATAAAATTCTTAAACTTCAAATTATCTTGCTTTTAAACTTAAAGAATTTTGTCAGCAATACCCTATTTAATAAAGACAATTTTAAAACTTATAGTAAATAAATATGTAAGGAAAATCAAATCTATAGGAAATACTGCTAGAAAAATCCTAGTAAATTTTTTTCAAGTCTAATCACTATACTTAAGATAAAATCAATATCAATCAGTGGATCTAGGAAATATATGTGCGGACAAGAACTAAGACATTGCTAATAAAGAACCAATGATCGAGATCTCGAAAATAGATGCAATATTGGGATTGCTGTTAATGTTTTTCGCCATATTTATGATGAATGTATCCAGTGTCTACATAAAGCTGATACTGCAGTCAAATTCGACATTTACTGCTATCGAAGTAATGTTCGTGAGGGGATTCTTCTAAATGATTATTAATCAACTAGTAATGTGTAAGCAAGGATAATCATATGGATCTATTAGTCGGGAGAATCTGATTAAATTGCTATGGAGATTCTCGTTAAGCTACTGTTCTTGGTTTTTGTAATATCTTTCTGTGAAGTATTTGCCACTCGGATTGATATAGACTATCTAAAATCTATCACCATTTATTACTTTGATTTTGGCCTACTTAATTTTAAGTGAAAGACTAAAGTGCATAGAGGTTTTTAATATGCTTACTTCATTCAGTGGTGTATTGGTCATAGTTTACTTCTCAGCTTAAGATAATGCCAAATAGCAATCCACTGGATTGGCTCAAGTATCACACTTCATGTTTATTGCAGCAATAGTGATGAACTTTGTCTCTGCAACTGCAATAGGGTTCACCAATGTTGTCATTAAGTAGCTAAAAGGATTACATTGGTCTATCTTATCCGGATTTTAAGGATCTATGAGCTTAGTAGCGTCATTAATTATTTGGCTTCTCTATAGATTCGTTTATATAAGAGAGTCTTTCTAGTATAATTTTACTCTTAATGATTATCACTATATGATCGGACTTGGAATATTTGCAGGTTTTGGCCAAATATTTTGGGTTAAAGCTCTATTGCTAGACAAAGCAGGCAGATGTGCATCCCTAACACTTTTAAACATAGTGTTTGGCTTTTTCTTTGATGTTTTGATTTTCAACTATAATTTAAGGATTTATGAGATACTGGGTGGATCTGTCATTATTTTGTGCTCTGCATTAGTATTTATAATAAAACTGAGAACTAAAAATGAATGAAAAAGGAATTTAACTTATGATAAGTTTTATGCCTCAAAGATAGTAAGGACTTTAAGGCTAAAGAACTAATTATTTATAACATTCTAATGACTTAAATATTTAAAATAAACATTGATCTAAGGGGTTTTGGGGTTTTGGGGTTTTGGGG